CTTACGAAAAACAGCGCTAGCTTTTTTAACATGAAAAGTATGCCCTGTGTGTCGTATGGGCTGTAGTCAATATCGCTAGATCTCACGGTGAATCAAGGACAAAAGCTTGGCCGTGTAAAAGTCAGTATACCTTGAGTTCGGGTTTTGAGGTTTTCGCTAGAAAACGTGTTTACTGCTTTCCATAAACTTGAATTTTTGTAGTTTTTATACCGGAAAGAAGCGGAGTATACTGACTGTTCATTACATGAACTACTACTACTATTAAAGGAACTAGGCAGGATACTGAAACTGAATTTTGGTAAACTGTAATAATAATAATTTCTCGTTTCGGAACGGTTCGTCTAAACCCCGCTATTTAGTCTCTGTATATGCACGACGCATGTAGTTATACCCAAAGGAGAAACAGTAAATCTGAAGTCTCCGTGCATCAAGATCAAAAGGCGCGGAACTTATGCTTTCGCGAGGCACACGAAAAAATGATTTTCGTATTACCGTCTGAACGAACGTAGAATGTGTTTTCGCTTGCTTTAAAATCCGTATATTGCAATAAACCGCATTGCCCCCCTACTCTGTGAGATATCACCATTTATTGAAAAGCTGACCTGATAACTAATCTGAAGTGAAATAGAAATCTTTAAACAATGTATCCGTGAATAGACCTAATTTATGCACCCCCGATTGCTAATCCTGTTTGAAAAGGCAGTGAAAGAGTGAACTGGCATGGCGTGACCGCACACGTGGCTGGTGGATTTCATCATATTGTCTGCAGGACATTTGATTATCGCAGTCCGAAGGAGGTTGCCGGTGCTGATAATGCGAAAGGTGCATGTGAAATGTGTGCAATGTTAGACCTGCAATATCATTCTCTGAGCATTCTGCAAGTTGCTTGTTGAGTTTATAATTATTTGATTATGTGCACGTGCACTATTAATGTGAATGTATGGTAAATGGCATCAAATAAAGAAAAAAAATATGCCTCATAAAGTCTTAAAGCAAGATCCTAGGTCTTCATACATAATGTTGGTTGAGACTTATGTTCTTAGTACCTACGCTTCTTCAATTTTCTACATCTGTCTAGATGTTATATAAGGAATCGTTGTTTAAAATAAGCTTTGGTTGATCAAGAAACATAATAAATACAGTGGCCTGTGGCCAGAAAGCAGCGTATCCGAACAAAGAAGTCCTATTAAATTTTACGTTAAAGATTCTCTCAGGCAGAAAGTGAGGAACTCACCTTACGAGCTTGAGACCCACTTTCATTAATTCTATTCGTTAAACTAGTACTAGTTGACCGCACGATATTGTTATTAATAGACCTATGAATTCAATGGATACAGCATTTAGCGCTGTATTTGTGCCCATTGACAGTGCAACGAATCTGTTCAAACCTTTGTAAGTCGACCTAATTTCTGCTATTAAGCGTCTTTTGCGATTTCCTGAAACTAAACTTCCTTTAACACTTTACAGCTTTCAAAAAAGTAGCTGCCGTTCATTAGTAAGTTTCACTTAGTTTTCCCACGTTTGCACAGAAGTGAGTCTATATATAAACTGAACACTTCCGCTCTAGCCAACCTAAAAGCTGAACAAGGCCACAGGCAGCTTTCCGAGGACCACGGAAGCAGCTTCGAATTTGTGGTTCATTTTGACTCATTTATATTAGAAGTGAAAACAAACCCTTTCGGCATCTAACTGGTTGCTGCAACATCATCCAAGAATGATGGGTTCAATCCTTCGTCCCCGGTAGGTTGAGTTGGTGAATTCTTATGGGTGCTTCCTCAAAAACATCTAAGTGAGCCTTCTTCCTTAATAACGTTAAGTTTACCAGCGTGATTAATCTTTCGGTCTTTAACTTTTAACGGCTCAATATTTTCCATCGTTCTATCAAACCAAAGGCAATCGATATGGCTGCCATAATCGTCAGGTAATTAACATCGTTCATAGCATGTTCATTTTGTTCGGGTACGTATAAGATCCATGGAACATAGGGAGTTACTAGCTTTATCTACTTATTCGATGTCTTGATATAGATTGCCACAATTTTTCTTCCCTGATATAAAGCAGTTTCAATTGCTCGACCTTAGTTGCATGTAATATATGACCAAAGCCAAGCTGTAATTGGTTGTAGTTCAATCACATCTGCAGAATGGTAAGGCACGAGAATATAGCCAAAAAGATATCGGTATCTTTCGTCTTGGCTAGATATATTTGGAAAGTGAACTGCGACGAATATCGAATGTCGAATAAGCAAAGCATGAGATTCAACATGCACGTATCTTTAAAGGAGTCCCTATGCATATCTATTGCTGGAGGTTGCAACGCGCCATGGTTAAAGTTTGCCCACTACTCGAGCATTTATCTAGTATTTCCGCAACATCTTGGGTAGCCATTATACAATTGTCTATCTCTAACGGCCCTCACCACAGCACAGAATAATTTGAAGCTCAATATGTTTTATACAATCGATCGAGACTTTAAAATACACAAGGTGTTAGTAGTTATGGAAAGGCTCAACCGGAATAAAGATTTTAGCCCGGGCCCAATACGGACTACTCAGTCACCCTGTACACAACGCGTACATTTTTTCCCATCCTGCGAAAAGGACCCGTTTAATGGGAAACCGGGATTAAGTTGCACGGCGGAAAACTCTGGTGTACTAGATACCAGAATGTAAAGACGATTCATGTCCTTAGACTGAGGCAGTATCATCATTAACCATTTTACCCATCAGAAAACAGGAAATCATGTTTCAAGGTTTAAAAAGGTGCTAAGATTGAGGAGTACAAAAGTTGGGATACCAGATGCTATCGATTACCATGTCATTTGTGCGTAACTATTTCCATAACTGACATCGAAATTTGCTATCACAAAATTTGATGTTTATATTTTCGATTCATAAATTGAAATACTTAGTACCTGAACCAACTCATATAATTATCTTTGCTCGAATTATTTAGCATTTATACTGCATACCCGTTACAGAACGTCGTTTTTGGAAGATCGGTTGACGAACTACGCTAGTTCAGTTGGGATAGGCAGGGCTACCAAGTTATTTACTAGTAAGAACAAACACAGTCAGTCTATTGATTGAATCTAGAAGTGCAGTTTGCTGGATCACAACTCAGTAATGTCAATGCAATACAATTTCAGTGGTGAGTGCGTTATATCGCACTGTCCAGCTTAACGGTAAATTAATATAAAGAATGGTCACCGTTTACCTTTAGTAACGGTTCTAGATCAATGCGTATGCGAGTGACCCTTAGCTTTTTTTTGGTCATGTAATAATAGATCGTAATTTTACAGACTCAGTCGGTTAAATAAATCGTGCTGTGAATTAGCTTCTCTAATGTGGCAAAATATCGTGATGAGAAAACTCTTTTGCTTGTGTTATTAAAGTCAATTGTTCTTATGTAGCCTACACGGAGGGACTCATGTACCGCCCGTTAATAACGAAATGTAGACAAATACTTACGAACGATAAATCTTTGACATCAGTGTTTCGATCCTACTCAGAACATCCTTTAAAGAATGAAGGTGTGTTTGATAATTGAATTAAATATCAACAAATTTCAGTGGTGTGCTAATTTTTGGAGAATAAAATATGTGAAAAATCGCGCGTAGCTATTAACATGTTTTCCTCTGGTGCTCTAAAATCCGCATGGACGGAAACAGTGCATAAATTTGAGGATTAAGGTAACAATAATAAATGCACATCATTAACATAAAGGAAGTTGATGCTTGTGTATTTAACTTCATAAATGCGCTTGGCAACCATGATTTCTGTTAATGTTCACTGTGTATTAATTTTGCTGTGGCCCTTGTTTAGATATATAAAAAGCCTTCTGTGATTGTTTACACTGTTCTAAGAAAGTTTCATTGCCGGTTTTTATTGAAATGTATTATGTTAAATGTGTCGCTATCATTTGCACCTGGTGGGCCAGGACGACCTCTTATATATATACTGTCCCATTAACAACTTTTGTCTTTTTAGGTCAAATGCGTTCTTGAGTCTCTTTTATGAATTCTGCAGGTAAACTAATAGAACAAGAAAAAAAATATAAACAGCATTAGAAGGACCGGGGAGTCAGTTATGTAGCCTTTTACAAAGAATGACAGGTGGTTTCAGGTCTTATGAAGAGTTGAGTAGGAAATCTTTTTGTACAGAGGATTTGTCTCGACATACGTAAGCTCGACGATATTCTTCTACCGAGTATAATAGTAATAAAACATCCAATACGCATACTTTCAGTGAAGAGTCTACACAATACGTTCCGGAAATACTGTGACTCGCTCAAATTATATATTTAATATCATTTTTTTATAATATCATATCCATTACGAACAAAACCTTAGAGAGTTCCTGTTCTTCTATAAAATTACAAACTCTACGTAACAAAATGAAAAGCACCATTTGTATGGTTAACAGGGCTACAGCTTACGTTGTCGCAATATTAGCGACATGAGCTGTGGTTAGACTGCCTGATGTATGATATGTGAGGGGCGGATATGTGGATGTACATGATATGTGGGGGGGCACTTCATACTGGTCAGAAAAGTCAAGTAATATATTGATTTCTTCGACTAGCAGACGGAAAAGGGTGCTGTCATAGCCGGAGAGTCTAAGCACAAATTGTTTTAATACACTACCAATTAGCACAATGCTTATTTTATATCTAGGTTTGAGCATTATCTAGTCTTATCCATCAATTTTTCTAGCTGACAGCTTAACATACACATAAATCGATTATAAGTGGTAGCCCGTAAGTAAGCATCGTTAACTGGCAGTAATTCGAATGTGCAAGTGCGCAAATGACGGTATATGCCCTGTTACCTTTGTACATAGTTTCTTTCTGTGTGCACGTAATTGCATAATACACGCGCGGCACACCTTCGGTGTAAAAGGGTTTATTATATCGACAATATTTTGTTTTCTAAACTATTATCGAGTTATATCGCATGCGTTAATTGTTTGCTCATTATTAACGCATAGTTCTCAATTTCAGGTGGAGATCATGCAGAAGCTGCAACACCCCCGGCTTCTTCAGCTATACGATGCATTTGATGATGGTCTCAAAGAGTTCGTGCTCATACTCGAATTGTACGCAATTTTTTTTGATACTACGATTGAAAATTAACAGACAACACTTAAGCAGATCCACAATCCGATTCAACAAAGCTCAAATAGAGAACTTAATAATGTTTTATTTTCTTAGCAAAATCTATTTAAGATATGCAGTTATTCACCCAACAATATATTACGCTCCTAATAGGCATGCCCGTTTTCTAGCATTTAGTTTATTTTGTACTAGCCGAATATTACCTGCGCCTACATAAGAATGCGTACATTATTTTTTTTATCATGCCTAGCTCACATAGCGTAAAGCTTCTTACACACTATTGAGATTGCTTGCAAATTAATTCATGAGTCATAGAGGACCAAATAAAAGAAATAAAAATTTCTTTCTATTATTATTATTATGAAACAGGGCTAGAATTTACAATACGTTGCTGGTGGTAATGTATTGTAAATTTTACTTTCGGAATTCAGTAGACGACTTTCGTAAGTATCAACTTTTGATTTGTAAAAAGCATTTGGGAAAGAATAGCTTTCGGACGCTAGAAGGAACTTTGCTATTGAAGCACGACAATTCTGATGCTATAATTCTCAGATAAATTGGCAAAATGTGCTGAACCTGAACAATAAAAATTACCTCGTTATGTGATAACATGGAATATTTATTGGCAGGTTCAAAGAATATTTATCTCATAAACATCCTCGAAGATACAAGTGTAGTGTGCGGGAGTGAACTAATTCGATGAGAACAAAATGACCTGTCGAACCAACATTAAGGCTTTGAAAGCAGGGTAGGTAGAGTCGAGACTCGTTCAGGAAACTAATTAAAATTCTAAAATTAGCACGCCATAAAGAACTGTGTGACTAGCGCTGATATTATTGAGCACCGTACTTCTACTAGAAAGTGACTGGAAGTAGAGTCAATTCTGCTTTTACTTCGTAATACCCGGTTAATACCCATAATGGAATGATCATGGCGCGTTGTTTGTAGTCCAGGCTTCGTTTTATATGTCTATTGAGAATGTTCAAATAGGTCGAGTCTGAATTTTTTATCTGATTCAATCGCATATTTGCTTAGATGCTTCTGTAGCCAAGTACCTAGGGAGAGAACGTAACCAAAAACAAAGCCACGCTAAAAAAGGGTAGTAAGCAAAATCTTTCATTTGCTTTAATTCTACTGATTTGATGACGATACACATCAATATCACAGAGACTCTTCCTATTCACGTTCATCTCACACGGCGCATACTTTCTGCATAGCCCTTACACAGTAGGCCTCTCAGCTATTTTTAACAAGTCTTACGATACGAAAGTTGCCACTATGGAAATAACTATAGATACAACCAAGAAGCAAATTAAGTTAACTAGTGAACAATCCCAACACTTGTTACTTGTTCTTTAAGGTAGCTATTTTTTTATCGACATCTTGAGAATATCCATTTTATTGCAGAAACTAACAGCCCTGGATAAAATAAACGAAGCATAAAACTGAAAAGTAAATTTAAACCCTTGAGATCGAAATCTGCTTTTCTGAAGGAAGTCACATAAATGTTAAACAATTTACATAGAGGTATTCAGGAGGCTGCCTTTGCATGCGCTTGTGCATTATGTTTATCTTTATTTCCTTAGTGCATGATATTGTTATAAGTTACCGATTTTAGTTGATATTTACCTTATCAATAGACGTCGGTATAACAATATCGATAACTACATTTAGTCATAAGCTTTACCTTGCTCTTATTGATAAGTGTGTAATTAGGTATCTTGTGTAGATTATAAAATTGATTCTATTTGACCTCATTAGGTTATTTCTCACTGCAATATTAAGAGCCTAGTAAAAACTTTATGCGAAACCCATATATATCTGTCTTTAGAATTCGCGGCGGAGAATTGTTTGAACGAGTGATCGATGACGACTTTGTGCTAACGGAAAAGGCGTGTACAGTGTTCCTGCGTCAAATTTGCGAAGGATTGTCCTACATGCACTACGAGGCGCAGGTACGCAGTCATAGTGAATAACGAACACATTGGCGTCGCCAACGACAGGATATATACATATATATATTCCCTCACTTTTGCTATAATTGCGAACATCAGTTGTTTATAAAGAATAACAAACAGAATTGCTTAGTTTTGACATGGAGGAACTGTTAGTGGACCGATACTGCATTTTCAGGCATTCTGGTCTTTCTAGTTTCTGCAGTAGCAATGTATGTGTATATTTCATATTTATTTTTTTTTTTTACTGTATTTTTTCAAGCCTAGGATCTAAAAATTTTTAAATAATTTATTTTCCATTTGGCTCATTGTATCTATGAAACTAAAATATTTATACATTCATTCTCAATGTGCAATGGGATAACCTACTCGGCCTCGAACATGTTCTCTTCTTTTGTGTTCTCAGTTAGCACTGGGAAAATCTCTACTTTTCAAATACTATTCAGTCAGTACGAAGCTTTGAAATTTATTACTAGATTAAGTTGTGGAAAAGCAAATTATCAAAAGGCTTTTGTGAGTGAACCAAGTGATTGAGATAGTAATTTTTGTGAGTTTTAATACTATACGCGTAAATCAAAAAGAGGCAAATTCCTATCCATGATAAATTAAAGCAAGTGCACATAATGGATATTCACAATTGCGCCCATATCTAAAAGCCTCAAGCCAAATTTTACTCGGTGTTAATATGAGATGAAAGAAGAGAAGGAATTCACTTGTATATCATCTCACTCATCTGAGCCTTAAGTTTTAAATCTTAGCATAGACAAGCTAAATATAAAACTTTAGGAAAACAATATTCATTTCTAAATATTTAGTGTTTCACGTGAGGGTCGTTATGGCATATAAAATCTATGAGGCTAAGGAATGTTTTTAGTAGTGAAACACTTTTTATCGAAACAGTTAAATATTCTATATATTTCAAGCCTACTTCTAGCAACGACAACGACAACGACGTTATTCACCAAAAGGCTATAAGAGCTACGGCCGAAGAACAAACGTTATATATATATGTAGACGTTTGATTGTCTTATTAGGTTTAATGTTAAAATTTACCACGACTGTAAACTAGGGAGAACGCAATCTTTGGTTTGGTAGCAATCGAGCAATTTCGTCATAACTTACATTTCGATATTTTTGTATCGTTATCGTATATAGTGCAGGAATTAAACGCAGCAAAACATTTGTGTAAACATTGCAAAATATTTAGAGATCATACCTTTTCGTATTCAAAAACCTATTCAATCATTTAAATGAAAAATATTTTTTAAAACAACAAAGCCAGATTAACTTAAAGAGTAATTAGGCAAATGAATTACGGCGAGCGCGTTAAGTAAGGAACAAATGGCTGCAACAAACGCACCTCACCCACAAATGAACAACGGTCATAACAAGCCGCTCTTGAAAAGAAAACTGAAATTAACTACAACAGATTATACTTGCTGCCGTGGTCTGGTTATACCTGGCCATTGTTTATAATAGTACTATCTAATACGTAGTCAAAGCGTTAAGATGCGCTTATTTGTTAACTGTATCTTATTTGCAACTCATTTGCTATTAATGGAACTGTGTAACTGCGGCAAATGCGGATCGTCCACGAATGAACGAAACCTTATTCACCGCAATAATTTTTAGGTACGAACCGTTAATATATATATATGTTATAAACTAATTTCTTATATATGTATGTAATATATCGCTTCTTGGAGCGTTGCATACATCGTAATGTCCTTTATTTTATAATATTGGTATCCTCAAACCTGACTATAAAATTTTAGTGTTCTTGGTTTATTCTCGGTCACAGTAACATCATCCTGTCATATTGGTAGCGTCTTTGCGTACTCTATCTGGCATTGGGCTTTTACGCGCTATCGAAGGCGGAGTTCGGTTCGGTCTCTTAAAAGGATCTTGCTTTTGAAGAAACGCTGTTTCACCAATTGGTAGTGGAATATGCTAGATGAGCGTTTTGTTAACTTCTAGTCCGAAAATTGGATCTAGAATTGACAAGAACCGCTTCTATTGAACTGGAAGTGAGTTTGTATAATCTTTTCATGAGCGATTGTTTGTGATCATTTTAAAGCCATCACAAACAACGATTTTAACTGTAAAATGCCCTAAAGTTCGAACCTTCTTTTGCCCGAAAATATTCTCCACTTTTCTTACCATCTTTTCAGTTGCATCACGTAAAATGCAGTGTCCATCTTCTTTCTCTACAGAGAATGTCCTGGTGATAAATAACTGGTAGCAAAATATTGCGTTAAATGTTTGCTTAAGGTATATAAGTTTTAAGTGTCATTAAGCGCCAACGGAGTCCAACGATCGGATTCCTCGACGGTGAGGAAGGTACGAAAACTTGGCTGCTGATCTTAATTATTCGTTGCATTTCATCTTGAAACCTTCGTTGTCATTTGAAACAAACTATGTGTGTCACACTACGCTACTACTACATATAGTAGCTACATGTTTATTTAAAATTTTGAAACCGTAAGAGTTTACTCTTAGCAGCATAATGTTTCAGTCACCACCGCGCAATGATGTATTCAATTATTTTATGTAAACGACCATGGACAAGAATCCTTAGCACGTATCTTCAGTGTGGGTCTGGGAGACCACTACGTGTCTTTTCATGGTTTCTTCTTGCTGTGTAAATAGACGGATGGATGGTATCTATTTCTTTACGTAATTTTTGTGTACTGTTTATAAAACTCACATGCGGTATATAATATTTTAAAAGCAGGCCGGGTTTTCTACTTCACGTTTTTCTATCGCTAAGCCATTATTTTTGTCTATAAAGACGAGCATTACCGTATCTGACTGAATTATACCATGTACTCTACCATTGGGTCTTTCCTTACCATAATGTTGTAAAATAGCTTTTATAGTTAATTACACGCTTGAAATTTTCCATGGTACTCGATGGATATTTGACTGTTCGGGTATATAATCAGTTTTCTAATGGCATTTGTTCGTGCAAGTTTCGCTGGTCTTGCTTTTTGACCTAGTAAATTATTTAGTTAATATAGAAAGTCATATCCAAAATAGTTGTATCAACAGTCTCTTCGATCGAAGTCATAATTTGTGACGGAAGACTCCTTAAAAGCTTTACTCAGGTCACACATTAAAGCGTAATAGCCTTTGAAAGTAATGATATCGAGCCCAATGACGAGGAGAAATAAGACTTACAACTAAATTCTCTTTAACTACGAGCTTTGTGAAAACATTTACAAGACCCATTTTGTTATTTTGTCACGTTACAAAATCAAGCAAATTACTTTATTTAACCAAATGTCCCTATTTCGACTTATTACTACATTCACCTTTCCCCGTTACCTTTTAAGTATTTTCTAGACATGTATGTTCTTTTTCTTTTAATGAACTGCAAGGATGAAATTTTTATATAAGAATTCACACTAACAGTCCGAGCGTTTACATGAATCTTGGTTAATCAGTAAAGACATGCTTTTTTTTTTCTCTATTACGTAAATACCTAGAATGAATACCCATTGTGATTTTGGTTTTGGCATCACTCTGTAACTAAATATTCTAAATTTACTTTATTTTGTAAACGAGTCGCAAAAACATATCTATCAACAAACAAGTACATTGGTTCAATTGCGGATTCACTCGAGTGCTTCAGGTGATGGAAAAATACCATTTAGACAATGAGGTTTATCAAAGACTGCGCGATGAAAGAAATTCTTCTGTCTCGTTCTAGCAGATTTTTCTGAAAAGATTACGACATTATCATGGTTTCCATTGCTTGGAATTAAGAAACTAAGATTAATAACACCACATTTTCGCAGTCCTTGCGTAACTTTTCATTGCAACTGTAAGCTGTCTCCTCTAGTAATAATTTTTCCTTTTCTTTCCGCCTCACCAACTATACATATCTAGTAATAATAATATAAAATCATAGCTTCTACGGATACGCCTACAGTGCCTCTATATGCTAGTGTGGTAGCTCAGCCAATGCTTCATCTTTCTTAGGCTATCAAACATATGTTAAGCAAAATATTGTGATCTTCTTCTACAGGTTCTTCATCTTGATATGAAACCTGAAAATATTCTTTGCCTTACTAAAACAGGAAATCGTATCAAAATAATCGACTTTGGTCTCGCTCGGTATTACGACCCTAAGAAAAAGCTGCAGGTCAGTGAACAAGGTTTCATGATTCGCTTTTATATCTAACTAACGTTACCGCGACCCGTTCCAAAGCGGTGTTTTAGTTTGGCTGGAGTGAGAATCATTAATAATAGTGCCACATTATTAATAGCAGAATCCTCTCTTTGAATCATACCGTTATATACCATTTTGATGTTAGCTGGAAATAGATAAGCACGTGCCTTTAAAGGCATTTGAGTTCACAAGAATTCAGTCCTGAACTATTTTTCCATCTTTGTTAGATGGGTAGTGCTAAAAACACAGGTGAACAATCGTTTAGGGTTTCACTAGCAGACTTCTTCCGAATTGCCTTGAACTATCTTACTAAATCACACAGTGCGGCGCTTCCCGGCTAATTTCTGTCTTATCCAACTTTAACGAAAAACAAGCTATAGACTAACGGGGCGACCCCACAGGTTCATATCTTAAATCGCTTTACCGGTTTTTGTGTAAGACTGATGCGTCAACAATACAGAGGGCTTACTTCCGACAAAACGTAGGAGCGCTAGTATCACCCGCGACAATCATGTTTAACATCGCCGTTTGTAAACTGTTAATCTTTGGCATTTCCGCTTTGCTAGCACGCAAATATATGCATGAAAGTCACGCACCGCCGACCCACTTTTGATATTAACTGAAATTATATTTAAACTGAACCATGCTGCGCGTTCTATTTTATGATAATACAGTCAGTATAAGTGCTCATTTGAAACCATAACAAAGCTTTCTTTTAAAGATTACCATTAAATCTTTACTAATTAAGATCCTAGAGATATTTAGTCAAGCATGTTAAGGAAATATGACTCGGTGTAATCTGGTGTTGCCAACAGGTGCTGTATTATTTGCTCGGTATACAATTCTCGTCTGTGATGATGATACTGACCAACTGTGGCTTTCAGACAGTTGTATTTTATTATTACTTTTACTATTATTCCATATTACGCCATGCAGCATAATATGTAATGAAATTCTGACTGTACTCACGATTATTATAGTATATGTCTAGACATAGTGTCAATAGTGAGCACACATGGTCATAAAGATCTGAAGATGAAGTTAAGATGGAAGATATGAAGTCAGTGATAGAAAACTCGAAAGAAAAAGCCGGCGGAGCATGACCCGTCGCGATCTCCCAACAACAGAAAATATGCAGTTCAGACCGTCAAACTAGCATGTCTCAGACTAAAACTATTAAAGAGGCAAGATTACTAAACTTCCTTGTAGGTCCTTACAACCAATCCCTTTTGTTTTGTGCCCCGGCTCCAAAAAGACGACTACTGATGTTTTTTTGTGTAATCAACAAAAGTTGAGAGCTGTAGTATGATATCTATCATGCCCGTGATATTTATTATGTTAGTTTACACACGTATGAATTATTACATAGATAGTAAACGCTAAATAAAAAAAAACGGAGCCAAGTATAGATTTTTTTATTTGCATATATTTAATTATTGAAGTTTGGTTTGTCGTCAATATATGAACGTTTTTCGTTCATACAAATGTATAACTAGCCGTAGATGCCATTTTCCTACCATTGGCTTGGGGTTTAAAATGATCTGCTGTTCGCCAGCCCATTTTGAATATCGCGAGGGTGTCACGTAAGAAGATTAGCGTGTCCCATGGATCAACCGGTGGGCATATTGCAATTTGCCAGCTTCAATACTATCCATGATACCTAATATGATGCACATCCCATATACCCGATACTAAGAATCCTATCCTATCAGAGCAGCCAAGATAATACTCTAAATAACGGAATGTAAAACGTGTTAAATTAGAACAATTGTAGTTTATAATATCTTATAGATAAATGTATAGAGGCCAGCTAAACGTTTACGTCAAAATAATAACCGTGACATAGAGTATAATTACTGAATTATTTATTGGGATTTATAATAAATTAACGGAAATTGATACCATAAGCAAGAGACAATATTGTAAAGATAGCCAAGTATTAAGAGACGCTGCAAATATCTTTCTCGAACTCGATAAACGGCCGTTCAGCTATAGGTTGTTCGTTAGGATCTCTATAGTTATATAAAACTAAATAAGAGCGAGTTTAAGTCACCAGTTGGTTTTCAAGTTTTAGCAAATGTCGTAGATTAATCATATTTATCTGTTTTACAGTAGTACATCATGGTTTGGGTGTTTAGTCAGTGTTGGCCAAATTGCATGTTCTAACTCTTCTATTGCAGTGGCATGCATGTTTTGATTCATCCAATTAATTTGTTATTCTAAAACAAAGTATGTCTAAAAATGGCTTTGGAGCGAGTTAAAATACCCGTAATTAAGCGTTTGGAACAAACGTTCCAATTTTCCTCCTATTTTTATATGTCACAATCGTCACCGCACTCACATTATGCATTGTAGTGATATTACCCGTATGGTAATCATGAATTCATCAAGTATATGTGGCATAGCCATTTTTATCAGAAACCAGACTCTATACGGTATTTTCGTGTTCGGTCGACACGTGTAATAACCGTCTTTATCAAATCATTATAATAATATAAATGGTACACAAATAAACAACGGGCATGACTGCGATGGGTAGTAATACTCCGAAAATGACTAAAGGTTAAAACTACATTACTAATCTAAGCAGAAATCCCAGTGTTGTATTTTGAGTGAAATAATGACCGGAAACTTGTATTTGAAAGCAGAATTTAGAACAATATTTTTTAAATATACTAAAGTTGAGAATCTTGATTTCTACATAAATTTGTATCAAATACAAGCACTACAGGAATACAAGCATGCCTTTGAAAGTACGCTAAGGGTCATCAACACCTTGTGATGTGGATTATTTAGCAAGTTTTTTTTTATATGTGATCCTAAAATGAAAACATTAAAACTTCCAACAATACAGGAATTACACATATATAAATTCTTATTTCAGGATATATAATCAAATATATAAGAATTATATAATGAACGTGCTTTGACATATTAATCCAGTAAACTTAAAGCCCATCAATCTTTAAAAAATGCATACATTTGTTTTTATTTGTAAAAAGTACTATCTCAGAAAAAAATACTTCTCAATAATTTTACTCAGGAAGTACTTCATTAATATTGAGCAGGTACTGTTTGGTACACCGGAGTTCGTGGCACCCGAAGTCGTTAACTTCGATATGGTTGATCCTCGGACAGATATGTGGTCAGTTGGAGTAATTACCTACGTTCTGTGAGTATATATTGGTGTCGCAATGACGGCGAAAGAAGGATCATATTCATTAGCCTAAGTTTCTCCAATCTAGAGACCTTTCACCAGCAGATTCACTTTCGGCCTATCAAAAAACGCGATTATATTCTGAAATATTCATCCAGTAAAGTGGACTGGGAAAAGAGAAAAAGTTGGATTGTTGAGTGATCGTGTATATTTATTATTTCAAAAAGTTAGTTAATGGATATATATTATCACAGTGTATTCAAAGTGGAAAAGCTAGATGTTAGCCTTGTAGGAGACCAAAAATTATATCGCAACAAGTTTTACTGAGTGGCCAAAGTGCTTTCTTTGTATATCTAAGAAATTTTCCTATAGAAATATGACAATGTCTGTGAATAAATTTATAGTAGTAAAATGTTTAAACGTAATACTACAAATCTTGTAAAGGGGGTTCACAGATCCCCTAACTATTTTTGGGGATGTACTCATTAACCTATAACAATTTCAATAAAGATGCGGAGGACAAGCATTGCAAAGAATACTAAAGCACTTATATATATGTTGAGAAAGGTGGAGTTATATGGATCACTGCATTTTTCTTTTCGCTCAGGGCAACGGTGACTTGAAATTATTAAACTTTCAGAATTTTTAATTCACGTTACTATTTTTTTGTCCTGCAGCTTAAAAGCGTTGGGCTATAAGAAACAGCTGAGTATTTTTTCGCACTCCAGTTCTGGTAAACGATAAACAAGAAAGATTAGCAGCTCGTCTTTTTACCAGCTTCCACTGCCCTAAACTTACGTTCTCCATGGCAAAGTGGAAGCAATCTACGTTCCATAAAAGCCATCATCGTGTGCTATATAAGCACTCTGGAACGAGCATGAGCTACTTACTGCATTTAAAGCATAGAAAAGACCGGACGCTTATGATGTTAATTTTAGAGAAAAATTAATTCTCTTAATTCTTCTTAATTAGCCCTAAAGTAAAATTTAGGTGATCAGGAATGCGTGTATTTGAATACACGTCAAGTTACTGAGGCATCGCATTTTCCAGCACGCTGGACCGTATGTAGTTATTTTCAACGTGTTATATGTCGTTGCTTTCTAACAAAATTGTAACGATTTTGAGTAAAAAACGCGTTGTTGGGACAAAACGATATTACCTTTATATGATTTTGCAGATAATCATAACCATGAATTAGATTTTACTATGAAAAATTATCTTAGAAACATGTACAATCACGGTAGTTTTACAAACTACATTGCAGTAAATTTGGTTTTTGGGAAACGGTGCGCTCATTGTTATTGTGTCTCCTCGCTTCTCGAACAAAACGTAACTTGATGTGCCTGTTCTTGGGCCAGCTGAAACTGCTTTACACTAAGCAAAAAATTTCATATCGATATATGGTGAGTGAACTTTACCCTGCCTAACCTAATAGTAATATATATATATATATATATATAATGCTAGGACGTACCAGAGTAAACAAAAATATTGAGCCATGTTTACTTCAGATTTTTATGCTAGGAAGCTTACACAGTCGACGATACACTGTTTCGAACGTCCCTCTCTTTAGCAGTAACTCAGCGCGTATGTGATTTCCTTGTACTCAGGCCGTATATAAACGGCTGCCTTCTGACGGCACAGCGGCGTCCTCTCTACCGTAACTTCTAGCTCATCCATTTCACACGCCTAAATATATGTGCTATTTTTTTTATATACAAGGATCCCTCCAGGTCCTAACGGTAGAGTACGGAAGTCATCCAGGAGGGCTTACCTGAACGCATTTCAGTTGCCTATTAAAACACATGAAAGGCAACTTTACATTGTGAAGTGTTAGCTCCGATTTGAAATAACGTGCTATGTTTCTTTCCATCAGTTGGTGGCTTCTTTGGTTATTGTGCTATTGTCCTGTTGGGTGGTTGATGGATTGGGTTGTGTGTCTATTTTTGTCCCTGGGTTTCTTATTTAGAGCTAACAAATATGCTAATTATATGGTGTAATAACCATTTTCTAACGCTAAATTTTGAACAAGCGACGGTCGCATGTTCATGGTTGCCATGGCAACGCATTTCAAAAGGTGCGCATTGTCTATGCTGACCGCGCTGCCGTCATATACCTAGCAGTTTCTTTGGACACAATCTTGTACAAATACACAAAACTAAATCTAAATTACTAGATATAAGGGCTACAGACTTGAAACCGTAACACCAAGGAAACTCGAGTATAATCTGTTCACAAGCCACGGACTTCCACGTCTAATACTTTTTCTGGTTCTGTAGAATTGGCAGACTTATAAAAAAAAAATGATTAACACCGTCAAAGCTGCGTCTTTGCTAATCCTTCTGACTTAATCACTTCATAGACGTTTTGTGTAAGTATAGCTGCCATGTTACTGTTAACGAAAACAAGTTATATTTCGTTAAATCGTTAAAAAAAAATTACTTGATGTAATTTTTCCAGTATTGGACAACCTACATTTCCCTTAAGAGGGAAGCAGTAGGTTGTCCAACACGCGTTTTTCGTACAAAAATCGTAAAAAAATGAGATATAAAGTGTGTGAATAAAGCGCTATTTCTTCTTGAGCGATAATGCATCGGCTCGTGGTAGCCGGTTGGGGCAGGACTCGCCGTTCAGGAGCGTAGTATATTTTGAATTAAGCGCATGTGATCACCGAATAGCCTTGATTTTAATTCAATAGATTACCAAACAGAGTGTTACTGAATGAGAGTCTAATCAGTCTCGACATGACTACCGTATTACGTATAGTAATACTAGTAAGAACGCATTCACACTGCAATCGAAGTTACATTGATAAGCCATAATTGTTAAAAGTGACATTTGAAGCACAAAAATGCTATTTGTGTTCAGATACAGTCATCGACACAAAGTCGTAATTCAAGCCGATTTAAATTTATAGACATTTTAAGAAGGAATCAAAAGAAAGCAAAGCTATACATTATGTCAGAAGTAACTCCACCAAATTGTGATCTCAACCTGCTGGACAGCCTATGGGAGAAGGGCTTTGCTCTGAGTTTTGACCTAGGCCGCTACCGATATTCAGAATTGCAATGGGTGCGGTCTAACGGTTTCGTCATTATCACCAAACTGGAAAGGAGTAAGTCGTTGGTCGAAGAGTAATGATGTTAAAGCTAATGACTAGGGCTTTTGTAACTATATCTTAACCTTTTCAAAAATGGTTCCACGTGTGAGCCAAATTTTGCGGTAAATCACTATGTTATAAACGAGCAGTTTTGGAATAGTCTGATTAATCCTGAAAAATTGCTTTAACGGTTCTGCGCTTCGTCGCCACCGCAGGTCGACCAGCGAAAGCTATTCGGTGGTTCTAGTGCTAACAGCAAGGGTAAAGACGGACCATTCGGTACTGTCACTAAAGGCAACTTACAATATAATGAACACTTTTTAAAGTTGTTCGTCGACTTCAAAATTACTTAATATTGTTGCAGGTTATCGGGTTTATCACCCTTTATGGGTGACAATGATGGAGAGACAATGGCGAACGTCACTAAGGCGAAATGGGACTTCGAGGATGAATCCTTCAATAATGTGAGCTCTGAGGCCAAGGACTTTATCACACAATGTTTGGTAAAGGACCGGAAGTAAGTATAACTGGTATATCTGCTCCTGTTTTTCGAAATAATAACATATATGCTTTAATTCTGGGGCTATTATATAGGGTGGCAGGTTCTTTGGCAGGCTGTTTGTCTAACGGGCATGTATTCGTCCACTACTGCTGGCATCACACGAGATCCAGTTCTTTCTCTCAGTAGCACGAAAGAACATAATTTGAGCGACAATCAGCCATTTTCCAATTCTCCCCTTTCATTCGAAATCGACAGTTCATGTTATTTCAGATCTTAATGTAGTTTTTGAAAGATTCTAGAAACTTCCATGAGAAAAATCGAAAGATCTTTAAGTGGATCTAGATTTAAAGGGCTTGGAAGCATATGAAAAACACTCAGAATGCCGTTTTTGATACACCTAAGTTTTTGATTCAGAAATTGACGGCCGTTTTAGAGAATTGAATATCAGTTGCTAAAGTGTCGATAAGCTGCAGTTGCTAGTCCTTTGAAAACATTTTGCGCCTTTTTCCATCTTTTTAGTTTTTTGGTTAGTATAACCCTGGCGTTTTCGGCATGCTGTCAGCTCTGAATTTTTTTGAGAGGCACTTTAACGAGTTTGCATTTGCCAATATTGCTTTATTTATTATTCTACAGGAACGTTACTCTCAGATTAAAGAAGGAATATTCTGAAACAGAGTTGTTAGTAACTTAAGTGCCGAATTGACATCGTAATTGCGGTAAGGTTATTATAGTTCCTTACACGTACTCTCATGTCGACGAGTTGGTACGTTTTCTACATAAAAAATGCAAAGGACACAATTCATTAGTATTTATTATTATGTGCCAACTCGAAAAGACTTAAAAAGTTAACCTTAGTACACCATACAATCCTAGCGTTCTAAATAGAAATCGTTGTTTAGACGAATTAGCCTATTGTAGTAATCGCCAGCTCCGCGGCTGATATACCTTCAAGCGCCAAGGGTTTCTACACTAGAAATTTACCGTTGAATTATTTGAATTCAACACATTTGATTATTTACATAGCCATTCAGCAAAAGGTAAACTTCATGAGGAAAAATTATTTGACAAGAAAAGCCGTTAATACGTATACAGACCCTATGTCGTTGAGTCGACTATATCTTGTAGCGATGAAGATGCAACTTTTGCTTGAATATTGCTCATCGATAGCTCGATTTGTTGTGCATGCTAACGTATTGAGGTCCCTGAAAATGCAGCTACGCTGCTGTTTACCAGAGCGATGTTATGACTCGGTTCGTCACCTTCTTGGCCTCACTCTACCTCAAGCAGAACAGTCTGTCCAAATTTCTTGATCAATTGTTGTCCGTACCTTCTTATATATTATATACCCTATGTATTAAATATTTGCTTATTGTTCATAAGAATACAATTGCATTGTGTAAATGTATGAATAACATTCTGTGAATAACTGAAGAACTCTATAAATGAATACAATTTTCTTTACAGTAACCGGTTGGACTCCAGGAATGCGCTGAATCACCCTTGGCTGGAGGTACGTATATTTTTGACACTTGACCCTTTGTAACGAATCTGAATTAGAGGACAATAGGCAAATCTGATTATTTCATGAAGCAAAATATTTTGCTTGAAAGTATCAAGCCCCTTTATTCACATATATAAATCACAGCTAATTTTAGTATAACGTATTATTCTATTAAAAAAAAAAGAGATTTAGACTAAATCATTTGGGTTTTGGATTCATAGTCCCTAAGCATAGATTTATTCGACAGATACAGAACGAGGTGGGTATCTCTTTGCTTATGTCATTTCAACATGGTGTTTTAGGTAAAACGAACTGACATAAAAGTGGAGAGTGCCCTGGATAAAAAGAAGCTCAAACGTTTCGTAATTAAACGCCGCTGGCAGAAACTTTTCAACACATATCTAGCGCTTAAGCGTATGGGTGCAACGATGACATTCGGCTAAAGTCTAAATTACGGCAAAAATTGACAAATAATCACGCCACCGATACTGAGTTTCTATCAAGATTAGATCAGGTATACTTATCTGACACTATATGGAAAAAATAAAAGAGACTGAAAGCATGGCAATGAGCCGTTTTTACAAAGATATGCCTTTAAAAATTCCATTAATATACATATATATATATAGGTAAGGAGAATTTTGACTAACATGCAGATATAAGCGTTGTACGCTACTCTCGGAAGATAAATGGATGGGATTAAAGAATATTACAATCTGTTATAAATGCACCGCGTGGCCAAATAAAAAATGTAACACCTTGACTTGGTTTAATAGGTGCCTACCTGGTAAGACATTCACTAGACTATTAATTTGATTTTTATATGCAAAACTAACAAAATTCAATTAGATCGAACATGTATTGGACGTGCTTTTTTCTATATAACATTATTTGTTAAAATCACATCGAATAGTGAGTATCAATTCTAGACGTTCTCGATAAACAGCAGAGCCCTTTCTACATTAGTGAGACTTTACGCACGGCCGGTACTGTCTTTAAGCATTTCTACCATAATGGGTAATTAAGTTTATTATATATATTACTATATATTACTATAATAATATATTAATGTTTCATTCATCCTTGATTATGCCAAATCGCGACATATTTGGTGACACTTTACATCGAGCGCTACTGTTAATACATTACAATAAACAAATGTGAGAAAAGATGTCAAATGTTTAAACATGGCTTCCTACGATTTTGCGTTTTTATTTGTTTGTTCTAACTAGGTCCTTAGCCCAGATATCCATATATTGCTCATTTTTGTAAAAAATAGCTCTAATCGTCTCGCACATGCTGACGGCCTGTACGGCGCTTACTTATAGGAGGACATGATAGAAGAAAAGGTTGTGCTGAGGAAATGACATGAGGGGGTTTATATCCTTAATCACTCTTACGTACACTTAAGGGAGCGGATGAGACTTTGACAGGTGAGATCTTGAAGGAAAAGATCGGTTTGCGAAGGTATGGTTGAGCAATGTATCAGACGATGCTTTACTAGGTTAGGGGGACGCACGGAGATCGAACTCTCGCGTAGGGAGCCAGCTCTTGGACAACTTTACCGGGTTGACCTGGTGGCGCTAGCTACTTTCACGTAAGCCTATAGTCGAGACTATTCACTGAAAACCTGGGCGAAAGTGACTCTTGAGAAAACTGAGAATTAACGAGTAGTGATTTTGACGGAAATAAGCCCAACCGGCGGGGCTAAGCCTCACACTCTTCCACAGAAGATGTTATGCTCCGATGCGATTGTATATAAACCGTTTTATTCAAACCCTGTATAAAAAGAACAGGAAGTTCTTTCCATTCGTTTGGAAGTTTTTTCGTACTTGCCTTTTTCAAAACCGCCCTATAATATCTATAAGGGTTAATCAGATTGAGTATGTCATGCTTATTATTTGTTTGTCTTTTGATGATTCCCCTCGCATGCATCTTTATCGTGCTTGCGCAATCTTGGCGTTCTCTTAATATCCACATTCCTCTTTCCAATTCTTCTTTCTTTTTATTTTATGCTTAAGATCCCTTGTATATTTGAGTGCGATATGTAATAATTCAGAAGGTTCGTCCTTTATTGTGGATTCTAATACGTTTTGAGTATCTCCTAGTCTGGTCATTTGAATGGGGGTGTGAACTATAGAAAAACGGAGATTATCGATATTTGCAGTAAAATCTATAAAAAAGAGATCGCTAAGTTTTTCGTCACTTATGAGAACCCGTGATCCACTGGGGCGTTCATTCGTCATGATTAGAACAGTATGCAAGTTAAATTCAACCTTTTAGAAAGTCTATTTGTCTCCTATGTTCATTGCTATCAGGTTGTGAGATGTCAGCCAGTCTAAGAAAGACCGACCTTTGAAATTACCCTAGAAAAGTCCATACGGTTTGTAATTTACCAGCTAATCACTCGCCCCCAAAACAGCCTTAAAAGAATGATATGTAGATCGCCTGAAAATTCTATAAATTAATTTACTATGCGGTTTGGGCTAATGTATAAGAAAATCCTGCAAACTTTTGCTGCCTTAACTCAGATATGACCATGTTTATCTCTCTGATTAGCTATGCAGAAGAACAATGTGCAATAACACAGACGCTCTTATCGGAGCCTCCAAACTAGCCAAGCCTTTCGTCAATTATTGTACGTTAGGCTCACAAATTAACGTGAGCACTGTATCACCTTTGATTGAAATGTACATTACCATAGTTTCCTATGGTTGACTGCGGTTCCGCTTAACATGTGTAATACACCTGTTATCTTCTACCATCCTCTTGTAAGTCGACCTCACAAAGACAAATATGATAATGCAATAGAAAGCATTAAATCGTAGATAAATCGTGCACGAGTTCCAGATAAATAGCGCGGATTGTCACGCGCGTGAAAATTATTACCCTTCTTTTCGCTCTAAATCCTAACTGCAAAACACAAGTGGGTGCATGTGGTTTTTACATGTGGTGTTCGATCATTCACATTGGTATTTATCCACACGGTGAGAATGACGGCCATGATCGGAGGTCTTAAATGGTGATAGTTTATTAATGAAACAGTAAAGGTCTTTCGGTAACATCTACAAGTTTTACGCTTTTTTGAAAACATCTGATGCAACGACGAATGGTGTACCTTAAATGCAGAATTCGTAGAATCTAAGTATTTCTTAGTAGTCCGTTTATTATTGTCTCCGTTTGCATGTGTTTGTTTTTTCCTGAGTGGGAATTTAGTCGTTAAAAGTCGCAAATGTGAGTATATAATACAGATGAATCTCGAGTGGCTTATCCATGAACTAAAGCTAGTTTTCCGTTTTGACTAAACCTTCGGCGTCGATATTTCTGAGTTCAATATCGTTCCCTTTTACTAGGAAAATTCGGGTTTTTAATACTTTTAAAATAGGCCTTCAGTTTGAAAGCACGATAATTATCTTCCAGTATTAGAAAATAAAGCGTAGTTTTTTAAGGCAATTATGCCGTTAAATTATGCATCTAAATTCCGCTGTATAGTAGGCCGAGTTACCGTTTCTCGCGTAATTCCAAGCGCAAAAGTATCGTATTCATCTTACGAAATGAACCTCGAAATTTCTACCTACGCGCACGAATTTCAACTTGATCTAACTTATAGTTGTTCGTCGGATTTCGCTTAGACGCTTCTTGCCGACAGGTGCAACCTACACAGCTCCGAAACAAAGCAGGCAACTTTGCTCGTTGATATTGACCAGTGTTACCGCATCATAAACAACCAAATGCCGTAATTTGTTGCAGATGGCGCAGTTGCCGTTGAAAGCCATTTCCTTAGGATGCGGCCTCCGATAAGGATAGCACTTTTGCGTCTGTTCACACGGTTGGCGTCGCTCATCGAAAAGTCTGTATTATAGGCGTAATCACGGATCGACACTCGATGTTTCTCACCACAAAACTAATAGGTCCCAGTAACATCTTCGTGCTGACAATAATGAAGACTTCTATAGTTGTATATTTTATGATGCACAGCACGTTCGTTGGCACAGACTTAAGATGGCAGAACACAAAAAACAACCGCCTTTTCCGACTAGCAGTGATGAAGTTACGTGCCATACAACAGTGGCGTAGCAGTAGAATCAAAAGGAAACAGTTGTCATAATGGCTCTGTCTCTCCCCTCCAAGTTTAAAGTAAAATAGGTGTTATTAGGTGCTACTTACTACTGATCTACTTGCCGATGCGCGCGTCTAAATAAGCTTTACATTGCATACCGAACATTATCACGACTTAGCAAACCGGCGTTCGATAACACTTTTTCCTCTTATAGAATTTCCGAAACCGAACCGCTATATACTGTTGATATCGACCAGTGTCACCATATCATAAACTAAATTACAAAATATTTTATGATAACAATAACCAACCTCGTTTACAGTTTTTGATGTTTTGAGTTTTACGTTTGACATTGCTGTTAGGTATTTTATCAGACGTCATCTATAATCCTAGCTAGTAGGTGCGTGCTGATGTCACTTACTTCTGCTAAAAAAATACTTCCAAAATACCCATATATGAAATAACATATTGTAGGACATCATGTTATACACAGCTATGTTATAATCTATTACATGAACCATTCGCCAGGTCAACATGCCTTCTGGCACCATTATAACAAAAACCGTGACACAGCGTCAATAAAGGTAAACATCACGGCCATCATCAATCCATTAGTTTAAATAGTTAATGGTTTTTATAATAGTTACGTCCTCCGTTTTTGAAATATCACGGCTACCTTATTCATATTATTTTTTATTAATTATTTCTAGTAAGTATATTTGACAAGAGTGCTCAAAGTTCTTCGGCCTTGTTGAGATCGTGGTGAGTGAGCATTGGCTGATAGTGGCCGTTGCTTTATGAAACAACGTTATCAATGCCATTAGCTTACTTTCCGGAACGTCATTGCTCTGCGTAGGCAAGTTTATCCACTTTACTACAAGCTTCTTTCAACATTAATCGACCAAGTAATATCCAACTATATTAAAAAGTTTTGAACCTGTTTGCTCCTTAATCTTTCTGAAATCTATTAGATTTTTAAGTGTCAGCGCGTTGTATGATACCCGCTTCGCGGGCATGAATCATGTCGACATGTACTACATTTGTAGATCACAGACTTAACTAGAGTCCTTATGATCCAGTATCGATAATGCAATTAGTTTAGGGCAGCGTCGGTTTTCATATCGCGTATTTTGCCGTAATGGGCATTTAAGATCAGCAAACGCGTAAACAGGTAATTTTATAATAATATCGCGTGCAGGATTTCGAATGGCTTGTGTGCTTTCTGTAACCAAATTTCTAATTTTATTACATTGCCGTTAACAAAAGAATCGAACGCTGATACACTCGAGCTCCCTAATATTTCGCCATGCCCAAGACAAACTGTTGCGTCGCCCAGACAACAAGCTTATTTTCGAACGGCTCTAGGGTGTACTGTTGGCAACGAGTCCCCCGTATTCAAAACTGCACGACCGCCCGAAACACTCAAACGCCTGCCCGAATCGCATCATATAACGACAAATAGCGAGGGTTGATAACTGAATCACTGACTTAAGTTCTCGTTGTTTGCACCCTCTTGGAAAATGCTATATCGATCGCTAAATCCTGTCTAACTGCTGAAAAATGGAGGACCGTCTAACTAAAGCCTAATTTCCATGAACTTTGCCATTGATATGCTGTATGACGGCAGGCCTGCAGGATTGATCCTACCAATGCAATGTGACCACTTAAATAGCTTCTAGGTTCTCTAGAAGTCGGTTTTTG